GAGTACCCAAAGCCATCTGTGGCTGGCCACACGGCGTAGCCTGTCCATCACACCCAGATCTGGCTGTGCTGATCCAGCTTCTAGGCTCGACCAGATCCAGATCCCGGCGGAAGCTACAGCTGGTCCAGGATGCTGCGGCTCGTCTGTTCACTAACAGGCAGGGCTGGCTCTGGCTTTTTTGCCGCCTCAGGCAAAAAAGCCTCCCGCCGCCCCCCGCCCCCCGGCGGGGAGAGCGGCAGGGGAGGGCGCCGAGCCCGGCCACAGCCCGGCTCTCCCCGGCCAGCCGGAGCGCCGCGGGGAGGGCGGAGAGCCCAGTCACGGCCCCGCTCTCGGGCCTGAGCGCCGCCCCCCTCCAGGTGCCGCCCCAAGCACATGCTTGGTAGGCTGGTGCCTGGAGCCTGCCCTGCTAACAGGTTCCTAGGAACACATCACCCCAATTCACTGCTCCCTACGCAGGCTCCCCAGTGACCGGACTCCCCTTCATGTTCGCTGCCCAAGTACTAGCCCTACTGCCTGACAGACACCTGTACTATACCTGTACCTGTACTGTAGCCCCACTGCCTGACAGACACCTGTACTGTAGCCCTACTGTCTGACAGACACCTCGCTTTCCACCGCCAGAACCCTCCCCGGTGGCTGAGCTCCAGCGGAGAAACGGCCCTGGCCACAAACCAGGAGACTTGTACCTCCAGGAGGCTGAACGTTCCCAAGAGGCCACCCACCCTCCACCCCCTGCCTGGGCCCTGGGGGACAGATTCCCCCCTTCCTGGCCTCACCCCAGAATGTGGAGTTGGCTAAACTTGAACTCTGGATGCCAGAAAGCACAGAAATCAGGCACACACCATCCTGCATCCCTGCGGGCAACTCTTCCTTAGCTGTTCTTGGGAGCGAACGGTTGCAGGGGCACTGGTGGGTTTGTGTTTCTACCGTTTATGACCTTGGTGTGCCCGTGTCCCTGCCCCCTATCTTGTCTGTGTCAAGATGCTGGGTGGAGCTGAGTGGCTGCCATCAGCTGTCCCAGGGGTTCTCTGGAGCCTCTCTCCCAGCAGGATGTGGTTTGCTGTCACCGTGGTTTGATTTGTTTGGTCGCCGTTCCTGCAGCTGCTGTGCAGTGCGTGTGCAGGCAGTGCAGTGCGTGTGCCACGTGACGCGAGGCGCTGCACAGAGCGGGCCCAGGCCTGCTCTGCGGGTATTTCTGCAGTCCAGTAACGCTGGCCAGGGCTCTCTATCATGCCTTTTTATGAGAGCCACTCCTGCTTTGCCATTAGACTGGCTGTGACGCAGGGAGCGCGTGATCTGTTCCGTTCTGCTGAGGCTACAAACCGTGCACATTCCCAACAGGCAAACGGCCTCGGGGGGGTCCACACTAGGCAAGCGCAGCTGGGCTGCAGGCAGAGCAGGATGCGGCTGTGTGTCGCGGAAGGGATCTATCTCCCACTAACCCAAACAGCGAGCAGCCGTCAGCAGGGAGACGTGATCTCCCACTGTACCGCACTCCACGCCTAGCCTGAGCAGGTATTTCGTGCATCACGAGTCATTCCTTTTGCTGATTTGCAAGGAATTCACTGCAGAGACTGCACTGGCTTATGAAGTCTTCCTCCTCACTGCTCATGTTGGGCCAATACAGGGCTCTCCCTAGCCTTGCTTCAGTACAACTAAGTCTGGGGTGAGCATTTCGGGATGCATGTCGTTAGGCATGGGGCCAACTCTGTGGGTGCTCCGGGGCTCAAACACCCACCAAACAAATAAATAAACCAGCGCTGTTCAGCACCCATGAGCCACCAGTAGGTGGCAGGAGCATGTACATGGCACACAGTGAAACTGAAAGGTGGAAAGCACCCACCGGCAAAGCCAAAAGTCAGTGCCTGTGTCTTTAGGCATTTTGACCCTACTGCCTTTCTAGGGAGCGCCATTTGCTACTCCGAGTTCTTCTCTGGCTGACCAATATTCACGAATACAGTACTAAGTGGCTTCTCTTCTTTCTTGTAGTGCCATCCTGACACAGGGGCTTGCTGGAAGTGCACTGTCTGCAGATAGGTCTCTGTGTCTGCAGAAGCCCCTGGGCTGTCGTGTGAAGGAAATTCTACTTGGCCGAGGTGTTCAGATTCCTGATGAAACTCCTCCTCTTGGTGTACTGGGAGGATTTCATATTCAAGGGAGTCAGCACCATTGTCTGTTGTGTTCCTGCTGCTCCAGATGGACAGTCTGCACCGACCATCACAGACCCCGTTTGTATGGTGCATGCATGAGATGGTTTGGATTGAGCAGGGGGTGGGACTAGATGACCTCCTGAGGTCCCTTCCAACCCTGATATTCTATGATTCTATGACGTGCTTTGGCAGATGTTCTGGAGCTGATAACAGCTTTTGGAAGATGGGCTCCACAGGTCTGTGGCCTGTGCCCACATGGCTTAGATCACAGCCCAGGAGGGACTGGTCAGACTTATTTCAGAGTAGCAGCCGACTTTTGGTATGATGTCCATCTGCTTGCATTTGGAAAGGAAGATGATGTCTGTCTGTATCTGTACGAGTTTTTTCATGAAGTTGATGGATTTCCACTCCATACGGCTAAATGCAGTGCCTTGCATAATGACAGGTTTCAGAGTAGCAGCCACATACAAAACCAATGGCTAGGCTTTCCTTGTCTGTGTGAGCAGAGTTTGGCTCTGGTACAAACAGTGTCCTAGTCGCAAAGGCTACAGACTGGCCATCTTGTAAGAACGCCTCTCCCAATCCATGTTCACTGCATCCCACGTGATAGTTACAGGTTCCTTTGCATCATACTCTTGCAGGACCAGTTGACTAATCACTACCTTTTGGAGCTGTTCGAAATTCCCAACACCATCTAGCACTTTCATTGATCAGTCTCCTTGTGGATTCCCTGAGCAGGGAGGTGTGTCAGGAACTCGGACAGATCATTAGCAAATCCCCCAGAGCGGTGTGTGTCTTGCACATTGTGTGCACAGGGCACGTGCAGAACTGCTCAACCCTTCCCTCTCCTGGCAGGAGTCCGACGCACAGCACAGCTGACAGGCAGTCTCACGTGTTTCTTATTCGGTGTGGGATTCACGTAGGGCACTCTGTTGTATCAGGTTAGGATCGTGATCAGGAGCATCTGCACAACCAAATGCTCAAGTGCAAATACACCAACCCCTCTAGTCCCATTAGCGCTGTGTGGCGACATCTCGGGCACACTTCTGGGAAAGAGAAATGCCAAATGGCATCTGCAGTCATCTCTGCCTGCCAGAACAAGCCCAGAAAGTCACCCCAGCTTTCTTCAGCAAGTTTTACCTGCCTGACACCACCTTTGGCACCTAAACCAGAACACATCTTAACTTTGTGAGTCTGGGCAGGATCGCTTCATCTATTGGTAAGGGGTAATGGAACATTGGAGAGCTTTGCAGAGGGGGAAGGGGTCAATACGTACACAGAAGAGACCTGTTTTTTAATAGCTACCATATTGCTGTGCCTGTCTGTTGGTCGTGTAACCTTTATTAGAACTCCCATCTCCACGAGCTTGTCAATATGTTTTAAGTTTCTTCTTCAAAGGAATCACTACTCTGCCAGGTGGCTTTTGTAGCAGTTTCACCCCAGGGTTGATTTCCAAGTGATGTTCTCCAGGAAGGTATCCACACCCTTGAAAACTATCCCCAGGTGGACTGTGCTCTTTGTCTCCTTGGGAGAGGCCTGTGGCTGGAACGGTCCATCGCGTCGTGTGTCAGTCCATCATCCGCCACCTGCAAAAGCCCCAATTTTCCACTCAATTCTGCTGAGCACAGAGGTGCTTGTGGCATTTCAGCGATTTCAGTCTAGTTCAGTGGTAGGCAACCTATGGCTGATTTTCAGTGGCACTCACACTGCCCGGGTCCTGGCCACCGGTCCGGGAGGTTCTGCATTTTCATTTAATTTTAAATGAAGCTTCTTAAACATTTTAAAAACCTTATTTACTTTACATACAACAATCGTTTAGTTCTATATTATAGACTTGGAGAAAGAGACCTTCTAAAAACGTTAAAATGTATGACTGGCACGCGAAACCTTAAATCAGAGTGAATAAATGAAGACTCGGCACACCACTTCTGAAAGGTTGCTGACCCCTGCTCTAGTTTGTGGTGCTTGCCCTTGTCTCGACCCGTCAGTTCGAGCTGCTTGGAGATTTTCTGATTGAACAGATGCTGGTTGGAGAACGCTGGCTCGTCCAACCCAACATTTCTCAGGAAAACAAGTTGGGTTCAATGAACTTTTTCTGACTCCCAGGCAGGATCCCAACAGAACCTGGCTGGCTGCAGGGGAGCCCCGCCATGTCATCTGCCCCGGAGCCAGGGACCGCAAGGTTCTAGGGGCCTTGGCTCCAGGGCAGCCCCCCTCTTTTCCAGCTCCTGGCTGTGGAGTTGGGAGTCTAGCAGCCCTGCGAGCCCTAGCTGGAGCCTGGACTTTCAAGACTTCCAGGCGCCCAGCTCTGCAGCAGGGAGACTGGAAGCCCAGGGATGCCCAACTCTAGCTGGGGTCCAGCTCCTGGCTCCGCAGCAGGGAGTCTAGAAATCTTGGGGACTCTCGGGGCTTCCTGTCATGGAGCTGGGAGGCTGAAAGTCCTGGGATGGGCTCCCAGCAACTGAGCCTCTGGGGCAGCCAGACCCCAGGCTTCCAGACTCCTGGCCCCTTGCTCTCTGGGCTGCCTGCCTGGCATCCAGGGGCCTGGATGTCCTGGGGGCTCCTGCTCGGGGGCATCCACACGCCGGGCTGCTGCTCAGTGAAACTGCCGCTCTTGAATTTGAAGGTTAATTTCACTCAGCAGCTGCCTGTGCCTGGGGAGCGAGCTGAGCGCTTGGCAGCTGGAGCCAGGGCCAGCCCGGGCCTGAGGCGCTGCGCGGATCTGTGCAGCGCCAGGCGCAGCGAGACAAACCACCTGCCTCCTGCTCTGCGCAGCTCCGCGGCAGGGGCAGGCTCGGCCCTGCCCAGCCCGGGACTCCGCCGCCGCGGGCAGCTCGGAGGCGGCTCCCGCAGAGCGCCCGGCTCCAGCCCGGCCCTGTGCGCGCAGGGCCCACCGGCCCCTTTAAGAGCCGCCGCCCGCCCGGGCCCGACGTCAGCGCGGGGACCCTGCCCAGCCTGCGGCGCGGGGCGCAGCCCGACCCGCCTGGGAGCCGGGTAAGTCGGGGACTGCGGGCGGCGCGGCCTGGGCCCCGGGCC